AGAAGTCTATCGTGGTGCTTCTAAGGAGGAGAGCCTAGTACTTTCTCCTTATTGCAAAGTACTTTATTATATGATGCATGTCACATCTGGGTGCTTGTTTTAATTCTGTTTTGAGACGAGGTCTTATGTAGTTGAGACTGGCCTTGAATTCCTGATCTTCTTGTCTCTATCTCCCAACTATGGAATTACAAGTGTGCACGGTCATACCCAGGCAAACCTACTTATAATCTTCATTTAATATTTATATCTCTTTCAAGATGAGCTAGTGCAGCAATGAACATATTGTAGTCAGGACTAGTCATCTTTCCATATAAGTCACACTTGCCTAAGACTTGTCCATCTGTGGAGAAAGCTTTTCAAATTGGAATTATGCATGTATACTCTTTCACAAACATACATTATGACCCATATGATGGAAAATATGGAAGATGCTATCACCATATGGACTTACTCTTTTTGTTTCTTTCATGAAGGTGCTTTCTCTGAGAAAATTAGACTATATTTTAAAGAAGTTATTACATTATTGTCATCTATGTGGTATATAGATGAGAAACGATATTTTAAAAGAAAAGTATGAGCAGGCTCGCCCTGTGATAACATTACACCTCAGCACATAAATAACTTCTTCCTTCAATGAAATGGGTATTCTAAGGGCGTTAACATAGAATAAGTTCTGCATAAGAATGGAAATTACTGTTCTTTTCCTTTTATTCTGCTTCTTAAAAATGTGCTTGCTGTCGAAATTCTGGACAAATGAATACCATTAGAATACATAAATAAGAATCAGAAAGCAAAGTCCAATAATAATATCAAGAAGAAAATACTAAACAACAACAACCAAAAAAAACTTCATAGAAACTTCAAATTGTAAGTAAATTTCACATTGAATAAATATTAAGGAAAACCATATCCATTCAAGCAAAGTAATAATCTGTGTTCCACAATCTACAGAAAGGTTTCGACTGCTAGCCCTTGGTAGAATCAAGCTGGTTCCATAAGCTAAGGAGGCTATACAATCTGTCTCCACTGCATCTGGAAAGTTGTTTCTTATTCTTTTAAACTTTGAAACAACTGTCAACTGAATCCTGCAGCTACCTTTTCCATGTGTCCAGATTCTTAGTGTGCAATTATTGAAATCATTTTTGTTAAAGAAACATCAGGAAAGGTTTGGCACTGTATACTTAAAATTGGCTACAACAGGGTTATTTTTAAGACTGATGTTCGTATCAGATTACAATCTCCCTTTCCCCTCCTTGATGGAAACTTAGCAAGGCCCCTCCCTTCTGGAGGCTTCAAATCCTCAGGGAGTTGAACTATATTTAAGTGAGTAATCTTCTTTCTTTTTTTTTATTTTTAGGATTAAAAATACCTCTAAGTCATTTTTTTCCTGCAACGATTTCTACTTTCTCCCCATCATAATCAGGACAGGAAAGGCAGGGAGACAGAAGCATAGCTATTTGTTTGATTATGACATGTCAACACATATGGAGACTAGATTATGGTATAGGAGAGAGGACAGTAAATAAGAGGACGTGCTCAGCTTAGGACAGAATTCTGACTCTGCCACTTGATGCATGTGTGGTTTTGTGTGACAGCTTATCCTGGATGAGTGGGAGAAGCATCTTACAGTGGGAAGGATGAAGCCCTGTGTAGCCTCTGGTTACCATTACCACTCTCAGAAGGTTCCCTAAGGGGCTCCTAACACACAAGCCACTTAAAGGCATTAAATAATATGAAGACTTAGACAAAGATGCAAATTTGACAGGGCTAATGGCCAAGGAACACAAATTCTACCGACTTGAGTGAGTGCATGAGGGTGACTCTCCTATTCTTTACTTGTTTCCATAATCATATGGTTTGATTCTGAACTTCTGAGATATGCATCAGACAAAGGTCAGAAGTTAGGGTCAAATCTGTGAGTGCCTCTGGCTGGTCCCTCTGTACAGCTTCACCTCATGGAAAGCAACAAGAGAGCTAGGCTGCGTACGCATATTGAGAACAGCTCTGTCTACTTCCAAAGCAGATTTGAAGTGATTTTCAATCCTAACGAAAACTATCGTCCAGAAAATTCTCTGCTAAAGAACACAATTTCTATACATTCTAACATATGTCTTCTCAATTCCTGTCATTCAAGTATTAGGCTATTGGGGCGAGAAGCAAACTTGATAGTTTGGAAAGATGTGGACGAATTCAAATATATTCATATTTTGCAGTAATTATTGCAAATAACCCATTATGCAATAACTATTCAGAATTGTACACAATGATCTTCTAAATATTGCCCAGAATATTAATTAAAAACTGAATATATATATATATATATATATATATATATATATATATATATATGAAGCCATACTGTGAGGTTTATGATGTTTCAAATTTCTACAGGATCACCACTGTCAGATTGGGTGGGAACGAAATTGAAACAAGGCATTTCTAATAAAATACAGAAGTCAACAATCAGAGATTAATTTACACTTTGATTAATGTTAGCCTCTATATGCACTAAGCATTGGATCATATATACCATAGTCACCTGAACTTGTTGTTATCCTTGATGAGCATAGGGACCAGTGTTCTCAGATTTAAATTGTTTCTTTCGTATTAAGAAGTGCAGCTGGAAACAATATGTACACTATAAATGTGGAAGCTACACCTCTGAGAAAGTAGACCATGATAGGAAAAGGTTAACAGGATGATTTTTGCATACCAGACATCATTAATAATGCGAAAGGACTCATCAACTTGAAAATATGTAATACTAAACTCTTAAGATGTTCATAGTAATATTGATTCTTATGCAAGAAAATAAAACCCACAAGATAACAATCCAAAGTTGATTCTAGTGAGATAGTTCGCTTGTGGTCACAGTCACTTATAGTCACCAGGACATGTCTCCAGGAAGTGACTTTCCAAAAACAAGAGAAAAAGAATGAGAGAGGTAAATATAAAGAGAAGTAGGGGCAAAGGAGAAGAGGAGAGAAGAGAGGAGGAGAGGAAAAGAGAGAGGGAGTGTGGTGGTGCACTATGCCCAAAGTTTCTCTGAATGTACTATTGTTGGTAAAGGTTTATTAGCAGGATTATATTTATGGTCTAATAAGATAGATCACATAATCATACAACAGAATTAGAGTAAAGGAATGGTAGAAATTATTGCTATGATTAATATATATATATATATATATATATATATATATATATATAGTATATACATATATATAAAACTATTGTCAAGACTAAACTCTGGAAGAACACATCTAGAAGATCACATTTATGTTCAGTTTAAAAGTCTCATGAAATTGACATATTGTCATAAAAATGTCTTAGCTTCTCTCTTATGCCAGTCTCATAGAACTGCAACAGAGGAGAGCGTTGCTAAAGAATTCATCACCAACTATGTCAAATATACCCCTGTCAAAAATCCATGTCCCTGTCTAATAGTTTGACAACAGATCCCTAAGTATAGGAACTCATTTTAATACTCATTTTTTTAAAGAGGGAGGGAAATTTGTTAGTTAAGACAAATGAGATATAAGATTAACTGATATAATACCAGAAGTGTCTGGCTTGGTCTAATTGAAGGAATTTCCTTCTCTGTAAAAAGAAATATCAAAACTTTCATGAAGCTAGTTGCCATCTACTATATATTTTTTTTAATGAGAAATAAACATTCTGGTCTCTGAATTCTAGAATGAGCCACAGAGTCTTTGTGGAGGACAGCTTTGTAAATGCATGAAAGTAGCTTCCAAACACAAGATAAAAGCAGCAGCAGCAGCAGATCTCACTCGGCTGCTCTCTGCAATGAAGGAAAAGATGTCTCAGTGTGTAGTGATGGATAGTGATTGCCACTGGCCTTGTAATCTGTCAATCAAGGGCAAATACTCCCTTGTTGGATTCAAGTGAAAACACTCATAGCATCACACTTAAATAAGGAGTTGCTTTCACATCTATGACAGGTAACATTATATGTAAGGCAAGAGTGAAGGCCAGGATGGTGCTGGAACACTCTTACAGAGAAGATGATGCAGTACCAGCATGGAAAAGCCACACCATCATGAGTACATACACGCACTCACCGTTTTATAACTTGGAGAAACAATTGGAAAAACAAAGGTGTTATAATAATGGTGTAAAGCAGCTATGAAATAAACGGATCTACCCACTATAGAAAAAAAATATTTCCTAACTGGATCTGTGGTGCTCTGACTAACAAGAGTGAAGTGAATGGCCTGTTGACCTTGGGGAAATGTGCTCGTCCAATGGGGAATGAGAAAGCCGTGGATCAGTTGCAAGTCTGCTTCACAGTGATTTCCAGAGTCATGTATACATGTCCTCACCTCTCCAGCCCTAAACATACCCTTAAGTTATTGAAGTTTCTGTTAAAATTCAGATGGTATTGGAATATTTTTCAAGCTCCTGATTAGAAATTCAAGTGGAAATTATACACATAATTGTCCTCACTCTCTGTGTTCCTAGCCCAAAAATTTTTCTTAAAATATGAAAACAAATCTGCTTACTTATGATCTGGAAATGAAAGGAGAATCGAAAACCTTTATCAAGTGCAGCACACTGCCTGCTGTACAGTGTACAGAGTAGGCCACACTAGTGCACGGGAAAACACTCGGATAAAAGAGACCTTGTCACAGCCAGTCCCAAGAGTCTGTCCTCTTAAAAAGGATACAGCAGTGCAAATGCTTGCAAGTGACAAGGCATTTCAAATGAAACTTCCCACTTGAGAAACTGAAGATAAGTTAAAGTAAAAGAAACCTTAAATTGGGATCACCCAAAGAATGAAATAGTGGCCTTCATTTTGCTGTGCTATCTGACAGGCAGGAGACAAACCCAAAACAACTTTGATCACGCAGATTGTCATTATATGGCATCATTATAAAATAGTATACTTTCAGTAATGTTCACAACTTTCCTAGACAAGCAAAACAAAATGAGCAAACCATCTCATAAAAACATCATAGTGAAGAGAACCAAGCTTTGCCTACCATCAAATTTCTTGTGCCTTGACACAAACGTGGTCCGCACAAAATGGCTTGTCTCTTCTACAAGGTTTTCAAACTCCAGTTTACTCTGTTGGCTTAACTTGTCTTCCATTTCCGTGGTGCAGCAGGTATATTCCTGAGGGCAGATGCGTAGGTGCTCCCCTGCAATAAGAAGAGGTGAGACATCACAAAAATGTCAAGGACTTTAGGTAGATTTGGGAGATTTGATTCCAATCCTGCATGCACCTGTCCCTTCTCCTCCCCAGCCACCTGCCTGGACACAATCTGTATGTCAGCATCTGTGTGCTTACCAGCCCCAAGGCCCGAGAGATCTGAGAGTCAAACCTAATATTTGCTCTGTGTGCTAACCACATAACTAAGTGCAGGTGTGTGTAAGCTCTCGAAACACCTGTTTGTTTTTTTCAGTTGTTTTTTCGTCCCGCTTTTATTCAAATTATACCAGAAGACAGCGGGTGACAAGAGTTATCAGAGAGTCATAAGTGTGCTTGTCTTTGGAAATGTCAAGGAGGTGAATGGCACTGAGTCTCATCACCACAATCTTTTAGGCAGCAGGGGAAAGAGATGGTGGTGTGGATACTGGTGTGTGCTTGCCTCGCTGGCTGTGGGAATACTGAAGTGAGAGGGAGAATGCCTTTAATGGTGATTTCGTGTGTCACACATTCTTCAGTTGGCATTTCTCGTCAGATAGAATCTGTTCTGGAAGGGAAAAGCCATTGGTAGGTTTCACTGATCCTTGTATCATGTGGAAAACCTACAGTTAAAGTGAGAGAGTCTTAGCTTAATGTGCCAGCTTGACTCTAGGCCACTTCTTTGACTTTGCTTTGACATTAACACTATGGCTTATGGGAAATGGTTTTTTCCCAAACACAAAGTCTAGATGGAAGAAGGAAAACAGACTCAACATTCTGCTGTAAAAACATAATTCATACCCAGATGTGGAAGTCAGCCTAGACGACTGAATGAATTTTGTACTTAATGTTATCATGATTAACTTCATATGTGATGATAACAGGATAAATGACATTTCTTGCAGCCCAGTGTGAAATGTAGTATCTCACACTCCCACAAGCCTTTTGATACTTATGAAATACGACTAGGGTGACATGTTTTCCGAAGCTTACATATTTTTAAATATCTAATTATTTATTTATTTACTTACTTCCTCCACCCTAACCAATCCTTCGCCCTCATTGCTCCCTCTCTTTCTCCTCAGAGAATGGGAAGCCCCGCTTTGGTATCACCATACCCTGGGACATCGAGTCACAACAGGACAAAGAAAGAGTTCAGACCAAGTTTACATATTAAAAGTAGAACTAATGTGACTTCCATGATGATATGAGACCATTGAAACCACATATAATTTTATAACCAAAAAAAGGGTGAGGGGGAAACCTATCACTGTTAAGAGTAAAAACCAACCAACTCAGGTTCATAGCTTCCTAGGAGGAACAAGAAACTTTTAGAAACAGATACACTGGGTCACATCACTTACATTTTCTATGTGTTTTAAATATTTCATAGTACACTTTTGAAGTTGTTCCTGGAAAAATAGCAGTTCTGGGATGTTCCGGAGGCAGAGCCTGGGTTAGGTAATAAGAAAAAGGAGCCTCCCATGGTCTTCAGAAGTCATTCTGGTGCTGGCACTCTCCTATTACCCCCAAATCACTTCACAGAACTCCAGTCTCCAACATGATTACTCTAAGGCCACAACAAAATAGGCCAGGCAAGGCCATTCCAGTTATCTCATCTGAGCTTACACAACAAGGTCACTGTGGTATTAAGGCAGGCCTATCACTCCTCTGTTTGTTCCCCTGGAGCACCACATTTTCTCCTTATGATTGTCAGTCACTGCTTTTATGGGTCTTCCTGCCAGGAGCCAATCTGAAGGAAACAAGTGGACCTTTGAGACATATCCCTATCTCCACAAACCATCTAATTCTTCAATGAAGAAGGCAAAAAGGCTCTTCCATACAGGAAGCTCCAGGTCTAAGCACGTGAGCAGATGTACATGGGAGCGTGCACATTCATGCACATTTGAACACACGTAAATGTGAGGACCTCATGAAAGCTTGCTGTGCTCTGAGATCAGGTTTGGGCAGGGGCACATGAGTGTGTCCCTTCCATTGCCTCTATGCTAAACCAATTCCAACCCCTGCTTTTGTAGATCTGATGAGTACAGCTGGGAAAATATCAAAGATCAATATTGTGTGCTATAATGAAGCCTTATGAAATTCAAATTCAACTGTCAGTAGATAAAATGCTAACCACACACCACAGATGATGGTAATCTTTGTATCATTTCATTGACTCTATCAACATTAGGATGCTATGAATGTAGTTACGATTGTGACTGCACAGGCTGAAGTAACAGAGTTATTTACCTCCCTCTGATCATGCTCAAAGCTAGTTCACTATATGAAGAAACTAGATCTAACCCGTGCTATGGAAATTTTTCTCTGCTGGAGTAATTTGAGCACTGGGAAGTATTTCGTATAATAGTGGTAATCTCACAGTTACAAGTTATAAAGAAAGAAAACAAATGGTCTTTAGGGATTCTCAATCATATTTTTTTCAAATTGCCTTAGATTCTCTATAATATATGATATATAATTAGATATATAATTTATCTAAATCAGAGAGTAGATAGACACATCAGGGTGTGCTCTTGATAAAAAAAATCAGCATAAAAGGCCACAAATGAAGAAAATGCACAGCTAATACTTTATATTTAAGCATATCAATCCCTGATTGAAAAATTGTATGTGAAAATGACTACATAGGTTCATGCTACAAGATCAAACCCAACCATAGACAACAGGAATGATAGAAGTTGACACATCTTGAGGGAGTTAATGCCAGCGAAATCTTGAATTATTATTATTATTATTAGTTATTTTGGTTCTTGAATTTTTCTTTTGTAAATAAGCTAACATTTAGATATGGAAGAAGAAATCTCCAACAGAACCCTGCAGAATGAACTCAAGGGCATGTAGTTAGATCTTAAATTGTCCTTAAAAGATCAGGCTGTTCCTCCTATGCGTGTCCCTTTCAATTATGTCAATTTCTACAATATCTCTTCCCCAAAGCCAACCCAGATGCTCATTTCCACGCCAAGATGCTGTGGTGACAGCAGAAATTTGATCCTGGCAAATCCCACAGCCTCCAAACATGGCGCTGGGTCTGAAAACTGCCAAAATTAGACTTGGTGACTGGCAGGGTGGTTAAGGGCAGCAGACAGCAGGGACTCATTAGTCAAGTGAGTTAGCCTCTGCAGGTTTGCTACCACAAAAACACTGAACTCACAGGTGACAACCAAGGACCTTAGAGTGTGAATCCCTAACAAGCTACTGAAGTGACATCCAGGAGGACTGATGTCTCAGGCTCCAGGCCACCAGATTTTCATATTTCCTACACATAGAGAACCCTGTGAAAGATTGCTATTCACAGTCTTTCCAGGTGGCAGGCATGAGATCAGTAGGTACATTTTTTTTAAAGATGGCGAGATGTTACAAAGTGCTTTGATTCTTGAACCTACAAGTGAGGTCTGACAGAAGGGTAGTATTTGCTTTAGTTTTGGCCATGGTCAGATTTTGACATCTAAGAAAAAAGAGAAAGGGATGAAAGATATTCTCTACAAGGTTAAGGTTTAGTTACAGTTTTACATATAGGAGAGAGTTTACTTTGGAGTTAACATACCTGGACTGACAATAGTCTTCTAAAATTTTATATATATATCAACTGATTGTGCCCAAGCAAAAGAAATCGGCATCATTTAAATGACTGGTTCAGGTTATATGTACATACATATATTTAAATTTATTAAACATCCAAATGAGTACTTTCTGAAATTTTTCTACTGTAAATATTCCTTCCATGTATCTAAAGTCATCGATTGTTTAAGAACATTAAGCAACATAATAAAAATATTCAAATTAGTTTGAGAAAACTAAACTAATATTCTGCTTGAGGGTCTTATTTAAATCACTTCTATGGCTGTCGTCATCCTTTGGTGTCAGATTCCTGGGAAGGGCTAAATGCTGACTCGTGTACTTCTAACAGATTCACTAAGAAGTTAAAAAAAAATCCCTTTTAAAATGGAATCAAGAAGTTAGTTGTTAAATTTGACTCCTTAATTACATAGGGAGAATTTCCAACCTACTACCCTGGATGATACAGACAAATTGCTATCCACCTATTGTTTCCATGGTACGCTGATTTTCCTGTATCAGACTCTTAGAGTATCAGGCCAACAAGGACGAAAGAAATTCTTCTCAGAGTGGACAAGAAAAAGACATGGAGTGAGCAGTGATTAGAGTCAGCAGGACAGAGGACAGACTTCCTTCCTGCTATGACAACTTAGGAAGGTCATATGGAATTTTTACATTGCTAATAAACTGGTCAATGCAGCCTCCCTCAACTCTGTTGCCCCTGCAGGAGGCAGGAAAGCTGGACATTAGCCTATAGCAAGGCTAGTGGATCACGGAAGCAATCCCACAACAGTGCAATGAGACAATTTAAATTTACAAGGGGATATAGACGTCTGTAGGAAAGAGTGAAAGAGCGACTGTTGGAGGCAGCTTGTATTTTCAGATTCCAGTATATTGCATCCATTCAGCAGCTTTAAATCCTTACATACCAGTGTTCCCCTTACAATTTAGTTCAGGGATAGCTAGAGGACTTCTAAGAGAGCATGAACGAGCACGGCAGTGTCCAGCTTCACTCTAGACCTTGAAGCTTCTGTTTACATGTTCTACTGCTAACTAATGACAAGTAATAATATTATAAAAAATATTTCACAATGTACTTTGATGTGCTGGCTGCTAAGTTCACTCAAGTGCTCACAGTGTACTTGTACTGGAAAATAAATAAAACGTTTCCTGTTTCTCTGACCTAGGATGGCATGAGTAGATTATTGAGATACTGGAAGAGTTATGTCTGTGTCCTGGGCTATGGCAGTTAAGAACTCAAATGAGGAGCTAGGAGGTAATGTAAAGGCATTTTGAGGATGTAGTTAACATCTGTAAACAGCTGGCTTTAAGAAGAACATTATGATTAATAATGTAAGAGTCTTAACCAATCCTAAGAACTGAGGTGTCATGGGAAAAAATTCCTCCAATTTATAGCCTCAGTTCTTGACTCAG